GGAGAGGAGCGGTTGGAGCTTTGGAAGGAGATGAAAGTGGCAGTAAGTTTAATGGGGGTGGAGGCGGAGATAAACCGTAAGCCCAAACGCTTCCTGCGGTTGACGAGTCTTACTTTGCCCTAACCTAGGGACTTCACATAAGCTTTCACAAGAACTCTCAAGGCTCTCAAACACACCAAGACACGAAGTGTAGAAAATTTCATTCATAATAATCATTATCCCTCCTAATGCGGAGGTGAGACCTATAAATAGCTAAAATACAAAAAAAAAAATCAATGACAAAAGTGCCCCATGGGGTCACATAAATCTACTCCCTCAAGTGAGGGTAAAAATAAAAAAATAAACATAATAAATCAAATTCAAATAAATGCTCAGAAATAGAGTAATCTGCTCGTAGCCGTAGCTCTCCGGCGCTTCCTCTGATAAACTTTACACGGCAGGATGTCCTCATGAGAATTTATATTAAGAATTGGACCTCTTTTAAATCTTCTAACAATTTTATGTATTCTCTGTGTTGTTTTTTTGCATATGCTTAACTTTACTATTAGTACATTTTCTTCTACTATTCACTTTTTCAAGAACCTTGAACATTTGATGTTATTTCCTCTACATGCAAGAGATGGTAATTCATTTTTGGAACACATTCTTGTGGACTCCTGAAATTCTCGCCATGAATCTACTTAGAGAGTATAGGTTTTCGGGTTCAATTCTCATAATGTAGGGTAGTTGTATATAAAACACTACTAAGATTTTATGATTTGGTTGTAGGTTCCTCGCAGGCGCAAGCCCCGTTGGTTAATTACTCATTCTGATGACGAGAGAGAATTTTCGATTGAGGCTAGTCGTTAGAAATTAAGTTCTTACCATATAGTAGTGGCAATTTGATTTAACAAATTGATTAGCTTGAATTGAAAGCGTACGATGGGAGAATGTGATGAACCCAATGAAAATTTCATGATTATGCCATCTCGTATTGTTATGGGCCTCGTCGACTTAGTTAGAGGAGATAGTTGACTCAACCTAACTAAAAGAATGTCAGCAACCATGATTTGCATCGTACAAGTGAACCTTATAGGCTTGGGTGGATGTTTGTCTAAAGGATACATTTAAGTTAGAATTTAGCTAATTGAGGGCTTTATGCCCTATCAAGTATGCTCTATGATTTAAAACTCAAGGGTTTTTAAGCCATGGGGCAAATTATAGGCTCTGGTCGATTTTGTAATTTAATGTCACTATTTTATAACAAAATCACTTAGAGGGCCTCGATCATATTCATTTACCTATAGTGCGATTTGGTGAGAAATTCATTACTTAGAGTATATGTGCTGTGCCCTTATTACCTTTTGAGGGTGAACATGGTGGCAATTTTAACAAGATATGGACCATTTATGAACCAAGGTTAATATTAAATTTATACCAATGAACAAGTGATTGTAGATGATGATTTTTTTTGTAAGTTTGTGGGCAATAAATTTTATAATTTTATAATTTCTTTGGGTTTTCATGTTTTTGTATGGATGTGTCTCGAAATGATTTGTATTAGGATTTGGGGGCATTTTAAAGTTGTAGTCCCTTCTGGTTGATATTAGCTTTTATCATAGCCATCATCAAAGTTTTGAACGCTTCCGTTTTTGTTACTTTTGACCTTATCAACTCTATTAATTTACTCGTAGAGGATCGAGTTAGATTTGAGTTCACTTTGTTTCTTGTTCATAGAAGTGGTTAGAAGACAATGAAACATTGGACAATTGTGATTCCCAAAGAGTACTTAGTAGATTCGAGCTAAGGGCCTGCTAAGTGCATGTTTGGTGAGCCTTCTTTCTTTCTTTCCTTTTAATTTCGACGATGGTTGGGATATAACCTTGTCCCGATTATCAAAGAAATATTTTAATAAAATTTAGCAATCGTCTTTACAAATTTTCCATGGAGCTAGGAAAACTATTGATGTAGAACGGAGGGGTTCAACCAAAAGAGGGGAAAAAGGGAAGGCGTCCACATACGTTGAATGTGTCCACATACGGTGAATGCGTCCACATACGATGAATGTGGGGTTAAGGAATTTCCAAACTTAAATTATTAAGATAAGGAAAGGGGAATTATGTTAGGTCTTTAATTAAATTCAAATTAGGAGAATTAAGGAAAGCCTCATAATATAGTTCATCCTACTTTAAGAAGGAATTTCAAATTCAAATTAATTTAAATGCGAGCCTTGGGCTCTTCCAAAAACTGACGGGTGATACGTTGCCCTTCTCCAAGTGACTTCAAGTTACGAGCCCGGACCCATCCTGCGGCTGGTGAAAACTCCGATTCCTTTTCATAGAAATCTCACTAACGTCCTCCCAAAAGAACATAAGTGCAAAACATAAATTTTTATTATAATTCCATCATGCCTAATATAAGAGAAGGGGCCTATATATATAGGCATCAAAAGAAACTAAAAGACAAATTTGACCATTGGGCTTACTTAAGACAAGACTCTTAAATAAAAAGGGTAAAAAAGGAAAATGACAAAATTAGATCAAAATACAATTAATAAATAAAACGGAGTGATCTCGGCCGTTGATCTTCGACTCTTCCTTTGAATATCGTCCACCGTCGGATGTCCGCATCACCTATCTAGGTTGACTTGCCAAAGTATGTAATCTACTTTAACATGCATTTGTAGACCATTCACATAATATGAATACCGTGAGAAAAGTCTAGAATAATCTGCTTCCATAGAAAGGTTTTTTTGACATGACACTATTCTAGAAGACTGACAGAGTAGTCACTTAGCAGACGAAGATTAAACTTGAATGTGCGAAAAATCTCCTAGCTGGAGCAGCCAAAAGTAAATATTTAATTATCGTGTGCGGATATGGAGCTGTCATACCAAAAATTCCAGCCTTTAAAAAAATGTAAGGTAGTGTTTGGCTTATGCGTAACAAAATACAAGCCATGCTGAAATAATAACAATCGACTGTCAGGTGGGTTCGCTTATTAGGAACTCTTTCCCGTAAAATGTCAACAAAAGACATAAAAAATGAGCATTAACATTTGGAGAAAATCAGAATGGAGCAAGTATGCCGCTACCATGGGCTCATAAAAAATGAATAGCATAGAGGTGTAGGTAAAGAAAAAGCTCAAGAACCTCGATGTCAACACAAAGAGGTGCTGGGAAGCACTAGCAAAGGTGGAAAGGAAGCCCCAAGAAGCCAGATGGAATAAGTTACACAAGGGATAGTGGAGATGGGACAATATAAAAGTCACCAACTACTCAGGATGAGTGATAGTAGAACTGGACGCGGAAGAGACATGCTAGGGTGCAGGGGTTAACACTCATAGTTGATAATGAGGGAGAACAAGTGTGATAACCGGTTCTTCCGGCCGGTTCAACCGAACCGGCCGGCCTGCCTTTTAAATACCGCGAACAGAATAGTTCGCGGAACAGAACAGTTCGCGCGA